AAGCACTTGGTCGGTGAAAACTTTGTTTTGTTTGTGGTATTTCGTCCTGGAGGCCCCATAGGATGCATAGAATTCCCTCATAAGGGTCTCATTGTACTCCGTGGGTGGCTCAGTANGCATAGAATTCCCTCACAAGGGTCTCATTGTACTCCGTGGGTGGCTCAGTGAAGTTCTCCCATCCCCGTGTTTTTATGTTTTCCAGGATATTGGGGTATTTGTCTTTGAGCCCGTTCAAGCTTAATTGTTGCTTGCCCAGGATTTTGCGCTTTGTGAGACCTGTTCTAAATACCTCCCTGGACCCATCAACCCCAAATCGGAGCTGGAAATCTTCACCTCGTTTCCTTCTCTCTTCAGCCTCTAGATTGATTGAGGGCCTGAGCTCCTCCACCTCAGACTGGGAGGGGCTTGGCACGTTGTCCTCTATCCGCAATCGCTTATTGGTGGAAGCCCGCTTTGATGAGCGTCTCTTTTGACCCATATATGCATAATGGTGAAGAGTGAGTGACATCATTAACAATACAGAGAAGATACAGACGAATCAAAAGCAAGAAAGAAAATGCGATCTAGTCTGCGATCGCAAAACCATAATGCGGACCGCAGAATTGTCGCAGATATTGTAGTCTCAACTGGTGGTCTCATTCTGTGGTGAGTTATGCGGTCGCATAACCACTATGCAGACCACATAACCATCGCAGAATTGACATGGCTATATGGTTCAAAACTAAAATCTCTGTATCACTCTGCGGTGAATTTGCGGTCCGCATGTCAAATCTGCGATCACAAAGACACCGCATTTCATCATCTTCTTCAGAAGATTTATTGTTTAGTTGTGCGGCCAAAATGCGGACCGCATTTTCACAATGCAGGTCGCAGATACCTTCTTCTATACAGGTCACCCAAGCTTTCAACAATGGTGGTCCTATTTCATTCTACCCCTTACCCCAAATTATTTTCAACCTAAAAGCATCAACACTATAGAGAAGCAACTACACAAGCATCTAAACACATTTTTGCACAGGATTTAAACGAAAAATCTTTGAACCTACAGTGGAAATCAAAGATAAAACGAGGGAGAAACGGGTACATACCAGTAGAGTTTGATGATTGGGACAATGAGTGTGACAAATGGAGTCCTTTGGTTGCACACGATTTGAGCTTGATTTGGTTCGAAGTCCGTTCGTGTTCTTTCTCCCCCTTTTTTCCCCGTTTTTATTGTTTTGTTTTAAGTGAGTGAGAGATGGATAGGACACCGCATAACACAGTGCAACCGCATGTGTGTTATGCGATGAGGTTAAGGACCAAGCTGAAGGGAGGCAAATGTGGTGCAAAATACGGTCGCATACATCAAATGCGGACCGCATAATGCACCACCTCACCGCATTTTCAACCACAATTTTGACTCAAATATCTACTTAGGTTTTCGGTCAGAGTGCGGTCCGCATAGCTAAAATGCGACCGCATTTGTGCAACAGAATTCACCTAGTGATTTTCCTTCCACTTTTTATGCATTCTTACCAATTGTTGTGATCTATTGAACCCCCTGCACTTTGACACACACTTTAAATTGCTCAAATAAATCTATCTATAAAAAACTTAAAATTCATAGAACAAAAGAGTGTTACCACACATGGGTTGCCTCCCATGAAGTTGATTTAACGTCGCGGCACGACGAAGTTGATGTTCCTTTGGTTTCACTCAATGGTCGGGCATGGACCATCTTTGAGAGCCAGCTGCTCCACCAAATGTTTTTCTCCATCAGTGCCTAAGTAGTGCTTGATGCGTTGGCCATTTACCTTGAATGTCCTAGACCCATCTATTGATTCTAATTCCACAGCTCCATAAGGAGAGGCATTGACCACTTTGAATGGACCGGACCATTTTGATTTAAGCTTGCCCGAAAACAATTTGAGCCTTGAGTTAAAGAGCAAGACCAAATCACCCGTCTTGAACTCTCTTTTCAAGATCTTCTTGTCATGGACAAACTTCATCCATTCTTTATACAAAAATGCACTTTCATAAGCATGGAACCAAAATTCCTCCATTTCATTGAGTTGTGTTAACCTCAAATTTGCAGCTTCAACCAAATCTAAGTTCAGCCTTTTCAACGCCCACATAACTTTGTTTTCCAATTCCACGGGTAGATGACATGCTTTACCAAAGACTAGCCAATAAGGAGAAGTACCAATAGGGGTTTTGTAGGTCGTGCGGTATGCCCACAAGGCATCATCTAGCATCCTTGACCAGTCGGTCCTATTTGAGTTCACAGTTTTTGCTAGAATGTTCTTGATCTCCCGGTTGGAAACCTCAACTTGACCACTTGACTGCAGATGATAAAGTGTGGCCACCTTGTGCTTTACGCCATACTTCTCAAGCAACTACGAGAATGCCTTGTTACAAAAATGAGATCCACCGTCACTAAGGATGGCTCTAGGAGTGCCAAACCGAGTGAATATGTTTTTCTTCAAGAAGGCGGTCACACTCCTTGCCTCATTGTTTGGTAAGGCAACTGCTTCAACCCATTTGGACACATAGTCCACAACTACCAAGATGTATTTCATCCCGCAAGAACTTACAAAGGGGCCCATATAGTCGATTCCCCACACGTCAAAGATCTCTATCTCCATCACAAAGTGCATTGGCATTTCATGCCTCTTGGAGATTGAAACTTGTCGTTGACATTGGTCACAAGTCCTGACCATTTGATTGGCATCATGGTAGATGGAAGGCCAATAATACCTACATACAAGAACTTTAGCCGCCGTCCGATTTCCTCCATGATGACCCCCAACCGGTGAGTCATGGCATGCCTTGAGAATTGGCATAACCTCTTCTACGGGAACACACCTTCTGATAATATTGTTAGCACAAACACGGAACAAGTATGGTTCCTCCCAATAGTATTGCCGACAGTCTCTCAAAAACTTCTTTCTTTGATAAGATTCCAATCCATCTGGGATAAGGTCACTAACCAAGTAGTTAGCAATATCGGCATACCAAGGATCAAAAGTGCTAGATAATGCCAATATGTGCTCATCAGGGAATGCATCGTTGACTTCAAGATCTCCCTACTTCCTCAAGCCTTGACAAATGATCTGCCACTTGATTTTGAGTTCCCTTGCGATCTTTGACTTCGAAGTCAAATTCTTGCAACAACAAGACCCATCGAATTAATCGAGGCTTTGCATCTTTCTTTGCCATGAGATATCGAAGAGCCACATTATCAGTGTATACCACCACCTTGGACCCCAATAAATAAGCCCGAAATTTTTCAAAAGCATATACAATAGGAAGAAGCTCTTGCTCAGTTACCGTGTAGTTCATTAGTGCCCCATTGAGAGTTTTACTTGCATAGTACACCGGGTGGAGAACTTTGTTGTGACGTTGGCCAAGCATTTCTCTAATGGCTACACCACTGGCGTCACACATGAGCTCGAAAGGAAGTAACCAATCAGGCGTGACAATAATGGGTGCCGTGGTGAGCCTTTGCTTTAACTCCTCAAAAGCTATAAGACAGTTCTCATCAAACGCAAACTTGGCATCCTTTTCGAGGAGTTTGCACATGGGGTTAGCAATCTTGGAGATGTCCTTGATGAAACGCCTGTAAAACCCGGCATGCCCTAGAAAACTTCTAACACCTTTCACGGAGGTCGGTGGAGGAAGCTTAGAAATAATCTCAATCTTTGCCCGGTCGACTTTAATACCATGCTTTGAAATTTTGTGCCCAAGAACAATGCCTTCGTCAACCATGAAGTGACACTTCTCCCAATTTAGCACAAGGTTGGTCTCTTCGCATCGCTTAAGCACTTGTCTAAGATTGTTAAGACAGTGCTCAAACGAATCACCAACCACCGAGAAATCGTCCATGAAGACTTCAAGAAAGTCCTCAACCATGTCGGAGAAGATGGACATCATACACCTTTGGAAAGTGGCCGGAGCATTGCACAAGCCAAATGGCATCCGGCTAAAAGCAAAAGTGCCATACGGGCAAGTGAACGTAGTTTTCTCTTGATCTTCCAAAGCGATGTTGATTTGATTGTAGCCGGAGTAACCATCAAGGAAACAATAAAATGACCTCCCCGCTAGCCGATCAAGCATTTGATCAATAAAAGGCATAGGGAAGTGGTCCTTGCAAGTAGCACTGTTAAGTTTCCGATAGTCCATACAAACTCGCCATCCGGTCACAATTCACGTTGGAATGAGCTCATTCTTCTCATTTTCGATCACGGTCATGCCACCCTTTTTTGGCACACATTGTACTGGGCTCACCCACGAACTGTCGGCAATGGGGTAAACTACCCCGGCATCCAACCACTTGATAATCTCCTTCTTTACTACCTCTTGCATTGACGGGTTCAACCGCCTTTGATGTTCCACACTTGGCTTTGTTTCGCTCTCCAATTGGATTTTATGTTCACAAATTCCCGCGGGGATTCCACGAATGTCCGCAATGGTCCATCCAATGGCTTGCCTATGTTCTTTCAAGACTTCCAACAATTGGTTTACCTGCACATCATTTAGCAAAGATGAAACGATTACGGGTAAAGTATCATTAGAGCCAAGAAATTTATACCTTAAGTGCGGCGGGAGAGGCTTGAGCTCTAGTTGTGGTGGCTCAATGATTGATGGCTTGGTGGGAGGTGTGGCCCTATTCTCCAAGTCAAGAGAAAGCTTTGCCGGAGTGTAAGTATAGGATCCAAGACCCTCCAATGCATTTACCGACTCCATGTACCCATCCATGTCCTCACCATCAAAGTTTACCAAGATAGCCGCCAATGCCTCACCAAGGCATTGTTCTTCCATTTTCAATTCGACGGCATCTTCAACCTCATCAACCACATCTATCATTGAAATGCTCTCATACCCATAGGGTAATTTCATACCCTTGCTCGCTTGAAATGTGACTTCTTCATCATTCACCCGGAACTTAATTTCATTTCGCTCCGAATCCATGAGTGCTCTTCCCGTGGCTAGGAATGGTCTCCCCAAGATGATAGGGATCTTCAGTCAAGAATTACAAAGTTGGCGGGCAAATGGAATTTTCCAACTTTCACAATCACATCATCAACAATTCCTATCGGTCGCTTAATAGATCGATCGGCCATTTGTAACCTCATGCTTGTTGGCCTCGGCATCCCTAATCCCACTTGCTTGTAGATGGAAAGTGGAATCAAGTTGATGCTATCCCCATTGTCACAAAGGGCTTTTGCAAAGTCACGCTCCTTGATAGTGCATGGAATAGTAAATGCTCCCGGGTCCTCTTTCTTTTGGACATGGCTTGTGGCAATAATAGAGCTAACCCGGTGAGTCATGTTTACTACCTCATTCTTTGTGATCCTCTTTTTGGTGATCAAATCCTTCAAATATTTGGCAAACCCCGACATTTCTTGAAAAGCCTCCAAGAATGGAATGTTCACCGACAATTGCTTTAGAATATCATAGAATTTCTCAAGCTTGCTATCATCAACCCTTCTAATAAGTCTTTGAGGAAAAGGCGGAGGAGGTCTAGGAATAGGAGGTGGAGCTTTTGATGTCTCCTTCTCCTTTTCCTTCACCCCTTCTTGGTT